GCAGTGTGAGGGGAGGGCAGTGGGCTCAGTTTAGACATGTTCATTTCAGATACCTGTTTTACATTTGTCGATGTGGCTGTCACAATTGTGTCATCTAGAATTAACATGGGCCTGCTCTTTCCAGCAAGGCATGTTTTCATCCACGCCACACCCTCTTCCCATGCAGCCCACACAATCACAGGAAAGGAGGCTGGTTTGAAAGCAGCAGGAAGAGAGTTGAGAGGTTTGTGATGAGTATTTAGTGAGGTTTTCCAAATGGAACTGGGAAGATTTCGTTTGGCTGCAGCCAGCTGAGCATCCTGGGTGAGGTCATCCTAAGCTCTGGAAACGCTTTGGGTCACATCTGCAAGGAGAGGGTCCGCCTGCAGGTAAAAGGGTCATGAGTCTCTCTTGCAGACTTGAGGACTGGCTCAGCCTGGTGTCTGTTCTTTGATAGGTAGAGGCTTTTGAGGCTGACAGCTTGGGAGGAATGTGCGCTGGGAGTGGGTTCCCTGGGAGGGGAGATGTGCTGAGCACAGAGGGCTGTGAAGGACAGCAGAGTAGTCTGAGGCACTTAAGATGTTATTTCTGAGTCTGACTCAGAGCCAGAGAAGTTTTTAGAACTGGGTTTGACCTTTAAAATGACATAGGTCAGCATTTCCCATGCAATACTAATGGAAAAAAAATATCACCTAAACAGATAGATCATATTAGAAACATCAGTTTATACATTGTTAAAGGATTTCTTTCTTTTATTCTTTTTCTTTTTTTGAGGTTTTGCCTAGGTTTTGTTTTACTAAATATCACAAGTAGAATTTTAATTCACGCCAACAATAGCTATGTAGTCACTGTTTTATGACAAACATCTGAGCTGCACGAGGTCATCCCAAGGAACTCTTGGGGGAATTTTCACCGGCTTCCAGTTCCCTGGAGGCACACTTTGAAAACAGTCTTCGACTGGCATGCTTTTCTGGCTGTTTTCCCACTTGTTTATAAAATTAGTCTTATTACTTGATGATAATTTTTTCTAACCACCTGATTAGTGCTCTAATAACCTTTCCTTGGAACAATCAGATGTTATAATTCCCCCCACCAGCTTTCTTGATATGTAATGGACATAAAATATTGTGTAAGTTTAAGATGTACAACAGGATGATTTAATATATTGTATATATTGTGACATGGTTGTGCTCATCACCTCACAAAATTACCTTTGTGTGTGTATGGTGAGAACATTTAAAATCTCTTATCAATTTTCAAGTGTATAATATAGTATTGTTAACTGTAGTCACCATGCTGTATATCAGATCCCCCAGAACTTATTCACCTTATATCTGGAAGTTCGTGCCCTTTGACCAGCATCTCCCCATTCCCCCTTCCCTTCCAGCCCCTGGCAACTACCACCCTACAATCTGTTTCTATGAGTTTGGCATTTTTAGTATCCATATATAAGTGAAATCATGCAATAGTTGTCTTTCTCTGTCTGGCTTATTTTACTTAGCATAATGCCCTCAAGGCCCATCTATATTGTCACCAATGACAGGATTTCCGTCTTTTTTTTTTTTAAAGATTTTATTGGGGAATTGGGGAAGGAGAACAATGTTGGGGAATTGGGGAAGGGGAACAGCCAAGTTGTTGTTCTTCATTCTTATTTGTGGAGAGTGCAGTTAGCTCAGCTCCAAGTCCAGTTGCCATCCAGCCACCCGTCGTCAGCTCGCGGCCGCTCAGCTCAGGTGCAGCTCACTGGGTCATGTGGGAATCGAACCGGAGACCCTGTTGCTCAGAGCTCACACTCTTAACCAACTGAGCCACTCGGCTGGCCCCTGAATTTCTTTACTGCCAGATTTCTTTGAGCCTTTTATTGCTAATGTCCACTGTGAATTTCTGAGAGGGATGTCACAGGTACTGCTTCCCACATGTACTTGGTTCTCTGAACCCTTTTTTCACAATGTGTTGTGAGGGACCAGTGCTTACTTGAACATGCTTTGGGAAATATAGAAATAATGCTTCTCTTTGTTTTTCAAAGAAACCAAAATTTTCTTATTATAACTTTGGACCTGGAATTCAGTAAGCTTCCATTTAAGTGGTACCTTGTTCTCCCTACCTCTCTATCAGAAGTCATCAGAACTTTATCAGAATTCACTTCCTAATGGCAAATAGTCTCTTGCAAGTAGTTTTATTGTTTTTTTTAAAGGTATTTTAAATTCTGGTGGCCTCCAAGTATAATAAAAGGGCTGTCCTGCCCCCAACTGGACACACCCTGGGTTTGTGCAGTTGTTGGCCATGGGCTATTAGATTTCAGTTTTTGTGCACCTGGCTAAATGCAAACAGGTACCGCGGAGGGAAGTGGGATGTCAGTGTTCAGATTCAGCGTGCTGTGCCATGATGCTACGGCTCAGGCCTTCTGTTACAATCAGCCTCTAACTCCTCATGCATGTCATTACTTGCCAATATCTTTGAATGCCCAGATCTCAGTCTTATTCACTGTCTTGGATTATCTTTCTAAACCTGTTCACTGAGCCACATTTCAAGAGACCGAAAAAACCAAAACAAAACAAAACCCAAAATAAGAAGAACTTCTTCCCTGGGGAATATTTATAGCAGCCTTTCTCTTTCTCTACCTCAGGAACTGGATGAATTTCAGCCATACCCTGTTGAAATAGTGCCAGGCAAGATCTACCTGGGCAACTTCCGGCAAGCCTGTGACCCTAAAATCCAGAAAGATTTGAAAATCAAAGCACATGTCAACGTCTCCATGGAGACAGGGCCATTGTAAGTAGAAATACTATTGATGTTTTTTAAGATTAAGTACCATTTGTTTTTACAAGATTCCTAGTGTCATGCATTTATCGAGTTGAAAGGGCTCTGAGAAGTCAGCACACACTGGAGTGGGGTCTGTACTTAACCTTCACCTGTTCCTAGGCTAAATAGTCTGTTTCTTGGCTTGGCTATGGCATTCTCTGACTCTAACTGAGACCCCATACTTACCCTTTGAATCTCACCAAAAGTAATACTTTCCTGGTATTTAACATCATGGTACAATGCATCCTATTCTACCCTGCTTTGCTTATCTCAGGCCCTCTGAGAAATGACCCCGTTTTAGTCCTTTCAGACTGTTATGACAGATACCATAGACTGGTGGCTTATAAACAACAGAAATTTATTCTCATGGGGTGGAGGCTGGGAAATCCAGATCACAGTGCCGGCGGATTTGGTGCTTGCTCTCTGGTTCATAGATAGCTGTATTTTCACTATGTCCTCACATGGTGGAAGGGGCAAGGGAGTGCTCTAGGACCTCTCTTTTTTGTTTTTTAAAGATTTTTATTGGGGAATTGGAGGATGGGAATAGCGCTGGGGAAT